TTGACCCGTTTCAGCACCCAGAGGCAGACTTGTGGGCCAAAGAATGCTGAGTTGCCAGACGTTGATGTTCTGTTATTGGCTAACGCAGGTCATCATGAGTTGGAGTCCGGGGGGGGGGGGGGGGGAGCAAAACTACAAAACAAACAAACCTCACATATATACTTATATATTTTCCGACAACTAAAATTGATTTACAAAATGTGCTTTTATTACCTAGGCCTTGTGAGAGTTTGAATCTTGGAAGACTTCCACACGCTAAAAGAAGGGACATTAATGATTGTAATTGCTTAGTTGGTTTTAGGCCTTTAGTTGAGGGGCACATTATAACATACACTGTATTATAATAATAATAAAATGCCAGCTATTTGTCAATCCACTGCTGGATGAAGGTCATCCCTCACCTTGTCCGTTATACGGTGTTTTAAATCAGATTTCACTACGCTGGTCAGTGCCAATGTTAATTGATGTTGAACTTCTTTTTTCACCCTCAGCAGCCAACCGTGCTTATTGGAGGTGCGGGAAAGAACAATAAAAATGGATCTACCCCTCGGACCAGTTTATAAATCACTAGCCACTGACGTGAGCCGTGTCTGGGACTCAAACTCGGGCGAGCAGCTTCATCGCGTGGTGCTTGAAACACGGTGCAAACGCAACACCCTCCATGCTTGAGAGCAATGTCGAATATCCGCACACCCATTGGTATTCTGTCCTCGGTTCCCACCCTTGCCCTCAACACTGGCGATGCTGTGATTGTCTCGTTATCTGACGTGTCGCAAATAATTTAGGACTTTCTGAAGCAGGCTGCCAAGACCTCGGCGTAAGTACCGGGCCATAATTTACATGACCACGCTACTGCCTCTGTTTTGGGGCATAGTTATAAGCAGCAGTTAAGAGCGTCGTCAGGTTTTGCTCAGAGTTCGTTAAAAATGCATGCCGGTGTTTTAAACAGCCTAAAGTTAAACGTGCAAATAGGACACTCCTCTAAAAGCCAACGTTTATTTTGTATACAATCGCCCAATATTTTACCACTGTATTTTTTCGAAGTTGATTGGAATGTCGCGTGTGGTGGAGTATGGTGTGGCGACTCCAATCTCTTTGTCTGGTCAGCGTTGAAGAGTAGGTTGATATACCCTCTTGGAGGGCTATCTGGAGCTCCCCGTAGTGGAAGTCCTTCTGCCAGGAGTGGCATGAGCAAGTAATGGCAGGGCTGCACCTTTTACTCTCATTTAGCGTGGTGTTTAGACTAGAATGTTGGATAACTGCTGAAATTAGTAGGGTATTTTAAATTACTTATGTTCTGTTTATGACGAGCCCAAACTATTTTTTTTTAAATTGAGATAGCGCTATACTATGGTCTGCCTTGGTCAGTATTCTAATTGTTTCCTTTTAGAGACTTTTTTTAAGGATACCTCCAGACCTAGTTGTTAGCTTTGTTGATTTGTCAACAATTCTATTACAGCACGTTTTAAAGGTACAGCTCTGTATTGCATGTAGCGAGGCGCCCTGGTGGCGAGATGTTATCTGCCTCACCTATTGTGCAGCTGATCATGGGTTCGATCTCGACCCTAACGCCTGTATATTTAGAGTTTGCGTGACTTTTTTCCGGGCTCTCCAGTGTTTCACTCCATATTTAGAATCAACGTGCGTTTCGAGTATTTGGCTGCTATACATTTTCACGTGATAAGCCACTTCGTTGAGCTACCATTTATGGTAGCAAGGTTACTTCTGAAAAATAACAATATAGCTCAGTGGGCTTTGGCTGGTAAAATAAAAAAAAATACAGTTCAGTTTTAGTTATATTGTATCATGTTGAACTTCTTACACAACGTACGTAGCCAACCACGGCCACATCACAGTTGGCAGAAAGGCCTCCACGAGCGAGAGCTGTAGAGAACACCCGCAGATGTTATTTGGCTGACTCTTCCACACTCACCGGACGTCTTTAAGGAGGAAGAGAGTGCCCACATTTGACCCTACCGTGCGCGACCCGTCGATCGACTAACTGTGGCACACCCATTTCCACTGCTTGGTGGACAGTGGCGGGGGTTGGATTAAGAAACTCGCACTGTTGTTTCAGTTGCCAAGCTAAGAGGCCAAGATATCGAATCGAACCGGTGACCTTTTGATCACAAGTCCAGTGTGCCAACCATGTCACAACCTCAAGGTTCCCATATGAAAGCACATCTCACTAAAATCTTGTTTGGTACGAAAAGCTCGCATCTCAGACATTGCAAATAGAGGATATCGCCTGGCAGTCCCATCAATCAGTCTGAGTGTTGTCGGTGACAGGTCTCTTGTAGTATCTGCGTCAAAATTATGGGACATGTGCCCATGGACATGTCGAGTTTTCATTTGTGGCTCAACAAAGCGTGGCTTTTCGTAATTAATGTTCGATGCGATCTCTCGCTGATGGGAAAGAGCACACCTCAGTGTTCGAATGCGGCGCACGCGGTTGACCCCGGCCATTGGGCTCACCGTGGAAGATGTGCGAAGGGTGCCTTGGGGTAGTGTTTGCAGCACAGGTGTGTGCGGGAGAGTGTAGTGGTTAGCGCTACACTGCGCTATGAACCCGGTGACCCCCGAGTTCGATTCCCGCTCGCGGCCGCCAACACCCCGTGACGATGATCTGAATTGGTCCTGGGCCTTCCCTACGTCGACTAAGTCTCAAAATGAGTACCTGGTGCAATATGTAAACATCGCCACTGGGGAGACAAAGGCGGCCGGGCATGGTGTGTGCCAGCCTTTATAGGTGCTCGACAATCAGTACATGCCCCAACAGTATGTTAAGGCTATACGGGGATCTTTGTTTTTGTATGAATATAAGTACAAATAGGTGTCTGATTATTGAGGCACGGAGCAAAATATGTATATGCCACAAACCCCTTGAGGCAACGGAGCCATTTATCACCGAGTAGAATGACCTAAAAATGACATCATAGGCCGTTCCTTTATACCTTTACATTTTCCTACTCGTCCTGCAAAGCTGTGGTCCTCTTCATTGGTGCAAAATGTGATCTGCCCCCATGGCTGGCACGGATCAAATTCTTACAACGATTTTCTTCTCTGTCAGGTCCGAGACCATGCAACTCGCTGCATAAGGGAACTTAAACTTATTTTGGGTGGAAGTTTAGGATCCAAGGGCAGTGTTTGATCAATATTGTGTAACAGACTCAGCATTAGCCACATGTGCTATCCAGCCACCCCATAAAACAGTTTAAGTCACGCCGCCTGGAGATCTGTTTGACTTTACCAATAACATTCTGGGGTTTAAACATGTACCTCGTCGATATGTTGTAATATAACCCTAAATGTGATGTGAGAAATGCAGCATTTAATAGGTTTTATATGTAAATTTAAACTTGTAACGCGCACAATATTCATTAACTCTCGAAGAAAGAATGGCTCAGAGATGCGAAAAACCACAATCAGCAAGGCAGCCATGCGATGAGCCGATGTCAACAATTTCCCTCTATATTAACACTCTATCCCCATGCAGATGGAACAGGTGGAGTCCACACTTTGCTGTACTGCCTTCTCCTGGCAAGCCAGGGTATGGCAGCTCGACACCCATGGGAACGGAGTTTCGCAATATTTCTGCGATCCACAAACCCTTGCCTCCACAGTGCTGGATTACAGGTGTGCATAGCCACCATCGCCAATACTTGAGGGCAAAAAAGTAATTGGACTTTCAGTCATTTTATGTCATTGTGGTTTTGGTAAAATGTGAAGGTTAATGGGGCATGGCCCTGATACCAATGTGCAAATTTTTTCAGGTTTTGCCACCGCAGGGCGTATTGTTTTGCCACTATACAGCATGTGTCGCATCGAACGAGGCAATGCCCTTGCACACTTGCACATTAGAAGAGCGGCAATCTGCCATTGTTTTTGTTTTCTTTGTGGTTGCTGTTGGGTGTTAAGACAAGTGAAACGTATTAAGTAATGCAGCTGCAACATTGTAAACAGCTGTTTCAAGCGTGGCGACAATTACAGTTACGTAGAATGGCTGCATTGGTGCAACGACAGCATGATCACCATGGCGCTTGAAGTGTAGCAGCGGCGGTGATGATGCACCAAAAACAGAGCTCTTATCATGACAGCATTTTCAAGTTGGTCACGATGGCAGAGTTGGTTTATGCTGCGGGGATTGCGCGGAGAACTGATAGTTACCGTGGCCGAATGAAGCTTTGTTGGGTATCTTACTACTTTTCGATTTAAAGCTTTCGTGACTGCAGGGATTCATCTTCTTGGTTCTTTCGGTAAAGTCACGTAGAATGGGAAAAATAATTAATAAAATAAAACATAATAAAATTCTCACAGAATTTTATTATGTTTTATTTTTATTATTTTATTTCCATTATCCGTCTACTCTTAAGCATGGTGTGAATAGACTTTTAAAAATACCTTCAGTCTTTATCTGATATAAGTGTGAAAAAAGAACATTCTTGATTTAAGTTTATTAGGCTTATGAAGTCAAAATGTTGAACACATTAAATATATCAAAATTTGTTTAGAAGTGTTATTGCACTTTACTTATTTTTGCACCATGTGGACATGAATAAAGCAAAAAAAAATAGCGTTAATTTGTAATTAAGTTTCTACTGGGTTAGATCGTGTAGGTATGCTTTTTTTTTACTAAAACCATCCACCACTAGACAAAGCCAATTAAACGCAAGATAAATCCACGTTCCTATGTGAAAGCCAAAGTATACAATTAACACAAAAGCCTTGTTTCTGTTTGGCTAGAATAGGTGGCAACCATGTTTCATTTCTTGCACCCATGTCACCGCAGGAAAATAACTCTCAGGTCAAAAAGTGGCTTAAATGTTTTCCCTTCACAATGCAGATGAACGTTCTGTGATGGTCACACATTATCGCTAACATGTAATTGTTCTGAGTTCCACCATCAAGGTCGTGCATAATACAGTGAGAATTGTACAATTCCACCACAGTTCGGCTGGCACATCACATGCAATAACCCCAATTGAATACTTACACTCAACTTCGCCTGTTACGATCGCTCTTTATTGAAATAGAGATTGTTATGCTTTAGAATTGACAGAAAAAAGAGTGAGTCATGGTAGCAAGGTGGGAGGGAAGTAAGTGGGTGAATTACTATTGCTTTTGGGCATTCACTGGAATATGATCCTGCCAACTCGCATCAGTTTATTGCCTGTACCCCAGTGTATGGGACAAGTGAACGGCATTGAGTTTACGTTATTTCTTTTTAATAACCGCACACATATCTCCGCAGTAACATGCTGCAAACGCCGGCTTTCCAAATTCTCCGATACACAAGTTATTGCTGCACTGCTACAGCTGCAGAGTTACAAATGGAAAAGTCTTCGTCTTGTGACACGATGCTAATAGCGCCATTGGAATATAATTCGGGGGGAAAACATTGGGAGTAAACACGCATTTTAAAATATTGAAATGTTTTTTTAATTGGACATTGTTTTTGTCTTAAAAAAAGTCATGCTATCCACGTCTACTTTATTTCTAACAATTTGGCACTAATAATAACTTAAACGAGTTGGCCTTTGGCCACATCTGCAGCACTAAAGGTATGCGTTGCTACCTGCATTCGATGATTTTACCTGAAATCAACAGGCAAGTTCAACTTCCGTAAGCCCGGCCTCTTCCTCTATAGGTCCCGCCCCTTCCTCTACAGGCACTGCTCATTCATCTATCGGCTCCACCTCTTCCACTACCATCGGCCACAGACCGTTGGCTTTGGCTGGTTTGGGTTGTGGTGAGGGCTGTGGAAAGGGAGGGAGTGTGCGTGCAGCAGTAGAATAATGTAGGGAAAGTAGGGGTAGGGCGGCTTCACGACAACCAAAATCACTCTTTGAGCAGCAATATCATCGTAGACATTCTTAACTTCGCTCACGTGCTTTTGCGTTTCACTCAGGTATCGGCTCGTACGCCAGACAGTATTTGACGCATTCCCACTTAGCATGCTTTCAGGTCTACTAACAGCAGCTGTTTCAGTCACGCTGCTCGGATACCTGATTTATCGGCTTTTGCCAACACTTAGTCCACTTACCAAATATAAACAGCCTCTGCTCGTCCCTGTAAAGTCTCGTGTTCACTCCTGCAAGCATGTCCAGACGTGAGATTTAAATTCACATTTCCACAAAACAAAATATTTCAAGTGCCCAGGGCCATCAACATCGTGGTTAAACATGTATAATCTCCATGAGCTACGTGGTACCTTCACATGCCCTCCTTTCCCTGCCACGTGAGCTCCAGTTCCCCTTTTCCACTGGCACATCTGAGCCAAGCCAACATGGAATCCTCACTCTATGGGTTGTTTTCCATTTAGCTATTTGCTATGCCGAGCTGGAATCAGACCATGATACTCAACCATTTTTTAAATTACACTTTTTTATTTATCAGGTAAGGCCCACTGAGCTATGAAGCTCTTTTCCAGAAGCGAAGTGGCTTATGGTGTGTAAATTTAGAGCAGTCAAATACTCTACAGGCATGTTTCTATATCTGGAGGGAAAAATGGGAGGACCCGGAGAAAAAAATCACGCTACCAAGGGGGGAAACATGCAAACTCCAAATATACAGGCTTCAGGGTCGGGATCGAACCCATGGCCTCCTGCATACCAGGTGAGGTAATTAACATCTCGCTGGGCTCACAAGATGTCTGAATCTGGCTTGGGGCCAAGTAGAGCCAGGGGCAGAGTTAAGTACACAGTGAGGATACAAGAAATTAGCACGTAATTTACCTGTGACTTGACTCGTTTATTGTGCGTACGATCAGTGGCATGGCTCGGATGCAGTGGAAAAAATAACTTCGTTCTGCCTGAGCTGCAATGGGTTGGCTTGGCACGGCGCCCGTATGGTTCGGTTGCGTAGTGCAAAAGAGGTTATGAGTTAGAACAGCACACCTTTCCAGGCATGTAGAAGTAGGGATGGTGTACATGAATCGTTGAAAAGTTAAATACAAATTATTTCGTCAGTTTTTTTTCCCCACAAGCAATGCTTTAAATAAAAATATTAATATTTAATTTGAATATCGGAATAAAAGTGCGCAATGTCACTGCTGACTGTTTTGCGAAGGCAGTGGTCTGGACCTGCTTACAATCTGTCGAGACGTGACACTTCAGATACTCATCAAGGCTTACTTGGCTGCTGTGGCTTGTAAGAATAAATGACTCTTGGAGAAGAAACATGAACTACAGCATCGCTTGCCGATGTATTCTTCAGGTAAGCTACCGAGTGTCGTTCGGAGAATGATGTCCGGCGTTTCGCTCCACGCGCTGGGCAGCTTCGTATTCAGCTCCTGAAGAAGCTTCCAGCACGTGGTGAGAAATGTCGGACATCTCATCTCATGCCTTAACAGGCTGTCGGGGCAAGTGCTGTTAGCGAGCACTTACTACGGCTGGCACTGCACACGAGCAGGTGGGGGGCCAGCTCCAGCTTTGCCTTCAGCTTTTCTTCCAAGTGGCGATGTTTACACATCACACTAGGAATTCATTTGAGGCTGAGTCAACCTAGCGGAAGCCCGGGATCGATTCAGATAATTAATCGTCACCGGTGTTGGCCGTGAGTGGAAATCGAACTCGGGTCACTGGGTTCGTAGTGCAGCGCGCTTACCGCGACGCCACCGCAGGCAGTATTGGCAATACCGTGGCCAAAGTGTGCATCTGTTTATGCTCAATGCCGTTCGTTGGCGGTGATGGCGGCTGTGTGGATGAGATTCTGGCAATCAGCCCCAACGCAAACAAAATCCCCCGCTTGACTTCCTTTTTGGCCACTTCCACGACGCCATCAATTTACCCATCGCGAAACGAGGCAATTTTAAATGTGAATTGACCGATGCCGAAATAAGTGATGAAGGAAGGACAAACTCTTTCCCGGCTACACGCGAAACCCTGTGCAAGGTACATCGAAGTGGCCGCGTTCTTTAACGTCACGCGACACGCGACTTCACGAACTTCCTTGGACACGTTTTGTGCAAAATTACAACAACAAAAAATATCTCTCTGACCTTCGTTGCCTGTTTTTTTGCATCGCATTTTGAATGCAACTGTACGCTTCACAATAACAGCTCTCTCTTACTGTAGTTTCAACTCATGCCGGAGTTTGCTAATGAACAAAAAACACCTTCACATACCCTCGGTACGTTTTCTGTTATTATGCGACTTAAACAATAATAATATCATATACCAATCGTGTAATAGTGCAACATAAACTAAGTCAGCATCACCCAATATGATGATTAATTATGTTCGGGATGTGGCCACACAACTTGGGCCTGAGACAAAAGTGGCATAACAGACGTAACATAACAGTGGCATAACGGACGTGAATCACGTAACAGACACAAGAGACATAAGATGCCGACGCGGCACGGGTTAATGAATAGTGCCATCAACATTTCTCGAGCCGCCGTAACGATCGGCGACGTTCCACATCTGTCTTCCATAACTTTGCCGGAAACTCTCCTAAGGTTGAGTAAAATGCCGCTCCGCTCACGAAGCCTCCGCCGTGGGGAGCGGACGGGGCGGGGGGGGGAAGGGATTTTCGTGTAACTTGTGAGTCGGGCTTGCAGGCAATTTTTTATTCCATTAGGAGGATGCCAAAAAGTGACCCGACTTGCAGCGTGGAGCAGTAAAAACCCGCAGCGTTTGCGATTCTACAGGTGGTCGACATGACCTAGTTTAATACCTCGCCATCGCATGGCCTTTAATATTTAAGTGTAATTCCATATATGCTAGTCCACTTCGGGTTTTTTTTTCCTTTGCTGTCGTCACTGGGAAGCCATTTCTGTGTTTGCGCTGTTGCGTATTTATTGTTGGAGGTTGCTCAGCTCGGACCATATTTAGTAGATACACGTGTTAATATATATAAAAAAAATTGAATTAATTGAATTGTAAAGTTGATTAACATTGTTGTGCAATGAGAAATTGTCGAATGTAACGTTGGTTACAATCGTTTTATTTTTACTTTAAAGAGGGCTTTTAACGTAATTTGCTTCCTCGGTTGGTGAGTGAAGCTTCATGCGCCAGTTCAAGTGCCCTCTTGTTGGAGCAGTTGACAGAGACCTACCAAAAAAAAAGCCACAATTCAAACAATTGACAACGTGATGCGTGTGAATCGACGGTAATCTTGAATGGCACACGACGGACGTCTGAAAAAAAAGCTGACAATCCAGGCTTTGCAGAAAAGCCAGTAAAATGTTGCCGAAGTTCCTATTTCATAGTAAATGTCAATAAAGCTGTGTTGATTACGTTGACGTTCGTCATAAGAGAATCGCGACACTTAAAAATATAAATTTTCTAAATGTCACACTGAAGATGGTTTCAAGACCGTAGTATCGTCTTTAAACTGAGTGGCTTTGGTTTGAAGACGTGTAGAAGACACAACTGGATATCGCTTCGTGTGACAGTGAATGAACGGGCCCGGGATAACATTGAAGTTAACGACGATGATTTCTCAAATAGCACAAAGCGACGACTTCAGACGTAGCTGGCCACTGTGCAGGTCCCGTAGACTCAGCCGGAGAGTGCTGGTGCAGCCAAGCTACACTCAAGGTCATTCCTCCCCTCGATGACATCGCCCGCGTGGCGGCAACGGGTGGCGAAACGTCGGCCATTGCAGCTTCGGCGGGACCTGCCTCAGACAACGGTCTCCAGGCCCGGGAGCTTGGGCTTGAGGATGCGCGGGGTCACGCCGCTGTTGAGGTCCTCCTCGAACTCCAGCAGCTGCCCCATGAAGTTGAGGTTGGGCGAGATGATGGGCCGCTTCCCCTTGACGAACTTGTAGGCGTCCGTCATGGTCATGCGCGTGTGCTTCATGAGGTACGCGATGACGATGGTGGCCGAGCGCGACACGCCGGCCTGGCAGTGCACCAGCAGGCCCTGGCCACGGCGGTGAGCGTCCTCTGTGTGAGTGTGAGGGAGTGTGCATGTATGTGAGTGTTCGTGTGTGAGGTATGTGTATGTGAGTGTGTGAGGGAGTGTGTATGTATGTGAGTGTTCGTGTGTGAGGTATGTGTATGTGAGTGTGTGAGGGAGTGTGCATGTATGTGAGTGTTCGTGTGTGAGTGTGTATGTGAGTGTGTGAGGGAGTGTGCATGTATGTGAGTGTTCGTGTGTGAGGTATGTGTATGTGAGTGTGTGAGGGAGTGTGCATGTATGTGAGTGTTCGTGTGTGAGTGTGTGAGGGAGTGTGCATGTATGTGAGTGTTCGTGTGTGAGTGTGTATGTGAGTGTGTGAGGGAGTGTGCATGTATGTGAGTGTTCGTGTGTGAGGTATGTGTATGTGAGTGTGTGAGGGAGTGTGTATGTATGTGAGTGTTCGTGTGTGAGGTATGTGTATGTGAGTGTGTGAGGGAGTGTGCATGTATGTGAGTGTTCGTGTGTGAGTGTGTATGTGAGTGTGTGAGGGAGTGTGCATGTATGTGAGTGTTCGTGTGTGAGGTATGTGTATGTGAGTGTGTGAGGGAGTGTGCATGTATGTGAGTGTGTATGTGAGTGTGTGAGGGAGTGTGCATGTATGTGAGTGTTCGTGTGTGAGTGTGTATGTGAGTGTGTGAGGGAGTGTGCATGTATGTGAGTGTTCGTGTGTGAGGTATGTGTATGTGAGTGTGTGAGGGAGTGTGTATGTATGTATGTGAGTGTTCGTGTGTGAGGTATGTGTATGTGAGTGTGTGAGGGAGTGTGCATGTATGTGAGTGTTCGTGTGTGAGGTATGTGTATGTGAGTGTGTGAGGGAGTGTGCATGTATGTGAGTGTTCGTGTGTGAGGTATGTGTATGTGAGTGTGTGAGGGAGTGTGTATGTATGTGAGTGTTCGTGTGTGAGGTATGTGTATGTGAGTGTGTGAGGGAGTGTGTATGTATGTGAGTGTTCATGTGTGAGGTATGTGTATGTGAGTGTGTGAGGGAGTGTGCATGTATGTGAGTGTTCGTGTGTGAGGTATGTGTATGTGAGTGTGTGAGGGAGTGTGCATGTATGTGAGTGTTCGTGTGTGAGGTATGTGTATGTGAGTGTGTGAGGGAGTGTGTATGTATGTGAGTGTTCGTGTGTGAGGTATGTGTATGTGAGTGTGTGAGGGAGTGTGCATGTATGTGAGTGTTCGTGTGTGAGGTATGTGTATGTGAGTGTGTGAGGGAGTGTGTATGTATGTGAGTGTTCGTGTGTGAGGTATGTGTATGTGAGTGTGTGAGGGAGTGTGCATGTATGTGAGTGTTCGTGTGTGAGGTATGTGTATGCGAGTGTGTGAGGGAGTGTGCATGTATGTGAGTGTTCGTGTGTGAGGTATGTGTATGTGAGTGTGTGAGGGAGTGTGTATGTATGTGAGTGTTCGTGTGTGAGGTATGTGTATGTGAGTGTGTGAGGGAGTGTGCATGTATGTGAGTGTTCGTGTGTGAGTGTGTGAGGGAGTGTGCATGTATGTGAGTGTTCGTGTGTGAGTGTGTATGTGAGTGTGTGAGGGAGTGTGCATGTATGTGAGTGTTCGTGTGTGAGGTATGTGTATGTGAGTGTGTGAGGGAGTGTGTATGTATGTGAGTGTTCGTGTGTGAGGTATGTGTATGTGAGTGTGTGAGGGAGTGTGCATGTATGTGAGTGTTCGTGTGTGAGTGTGTATGTGAGTGTGTGAGGGAGTGTGCATGTATGTGAGTGTTCGTGTGTGAGGTATGTGTATGTGAGTGTGTGAGGGAGTGTGCATGTATGTGAGTGTGTATGTGAGTGTGTGAGGGAGTGTGCATGTATGTGAGTGTTCGTGTGTGAGTGTGTATGTGAGTGTGTGAGGGAGTGTGCATGTATGTGAGTGTTCGTGTGTGAGGTATGTGTATGTGAGTGTGTGAGGGAGTGTGTATGTATGTATGTGAGTGTTCGTGTGTGAGGTATGTGTATGTGAGTGTGTGAGGGAGTGTGCATGTATGTGAGTGTTCGTGTGTGAGGTATGTGTATGTGAGTGTGTGAGGGAGTGTGCATGTATGTGAGTGTTCGTGTGTGAGGTATGTGTATGTGAGTGTGTGAGGGAGTGTGCATGTATGTGAGTGTTCGTGTGTGAGGTATGTGTATGTGAGTGTGTGAGGGAGTGTGCATGTATGTGAGTGTTCGTGTGTGAGGTATGTGTATGTGAGTGTGTGAGGGAGTGTGTATGTATGTGAGTGTTCGTGTGTGAGGTATGTGTATGTGAGTGTGTGAGGGAGTGTGTATGTATGTGAGTGTTCATGTGTGAGGTATGTGTATGTGAGTGTGTGAGGGAGTGTGCATGTATGTGAGTGTTCGTGTGTGAGGTATGTGTATGTGAGTGTGTGAGGGAGTGTGCATGTATGTGAGTGTTCGTGTGTGAGGTATGTGTATGTGAGTGTGTGAGGGAGTGTGCATGTATGTGAGTGTTCGTGTGTGAGGTATGTGTATGTGAGTGTGTGAGGGAGTGTGCATGTATGTGAGTGTTCGTGTGTGAGGTATGTGTATGTGAGTGTGTGAGGGAGTGTGTATGTATGTGAGTGTTCGTGTGTGAGGTATGTGTATGTGAGTGTGAGGGAGTGTGCGTGTGAGTGTCCGTGTGTGTGAATGTTCGCGTGTGAGTATGTATGTAGTGTTCCCGTGTGAGGGAGTGCGTGTGAGTGTTCATGTTCATGTGTGTATATATGTATGTGAATCTTTGCATGTGAGTGATCATGCATGAGTACGTGATTGTTCGCGTGTGAGTGCGTGCGTTCGTGTATGAGTGAGTGTGAGTTCATGTGTGTGCGAGATAATTCATGTGTACGCGAGTTGGTGTGTGTGTGTAAGCGCGTTTACACAGATTTGTGTGCATGTGGTTAAGCATTGCCATATGTGCGAGCGTTCGTGCAAGCACACGCATATAATGTGTGTGTGTTAACAGACGTCTTGGTGTGGGCAAGACAACGGGCGGTGTTGGAAAAAATACAGAAGAACATGACACAACATTAGTTTCGCATATCCTCGAATGGAACAATGTAGCAAATAAATCATAGCACAACGAAAAAAGACAAGTCACAATCACAATGCACTCGAAAAATAGCTATGATTCAAGTACATAGAGTGCATTTTTGTAAACAATAGTATACTCGTTTAATTCCCTGTCATATGACGGGTTAATAAAAATGAAATTAAATGAAAAGGCGTGTCGGAATTATTTAAATTTTTTTTTTTTAAAAAAGCCGCATTTGGTGTAAATTGCCTTCCATGAAAAACGAAATGTTTAAAATCGCATGAAAATCCACGTAGCCTACCCAGCATTACACACAGCATACCGTTTTCAGACGTTAGCATACCTTGTCAACCCATAAGGTATACCCGTGTACTTGGACTGTACAGGGGAACTGAGTGTTCAGGTCCATACGGCGTACAGCCGTTTAAATACGGGCATTTTTTTGTCTATTTGTGATGGGACTTGTAGGATGAACGTGGAGATGTATAAGGGCATGGGGTGCACAATAAGGTCTGGATTGGTCTGTAATAAGGTAGGCACAGATCACTAAAACTATACGTATAATCTTGCATCTTTCCAAAGTACGTGATATTGGTAAGATTTTTTAACTGTCGTAACTTCGGAAACAATGTCACATTTTGTTGCTTATAAATGTATCCTTCACCTCTCATTTATAAATAACCAAACACACGGAACCCAACGCAAGTCCACTTAACTTCCCTCTGCAGTCTACACCGCAATCAGTAATTATTCCCTGATCCGTGCACCCCAATTAAAGGATACAGCATGTATCCAACTGGCTATGTACGGTACAAAAGAAGTCCAACACACACACATATATACATCTCTATGCGTTTCGAGCGTGCATCCCTCCACGTTGCACTATTTCTTTGAATCTTTTTGCTGCATTTTTTTGTCAAGTGCACGACCACGGGGACCGTAGAAAGAGAGGCGCCAGTAAACGCACCGTGAAACAGGGCCGCGACTTGTGCACGCACCTCGAGGTGCACGTCGTACGCGTGGCGGCGATCGATCGGCCCACGCCGCTCGTCGTCCCCCCCTGCCCCCCCGAAAGTCAAACCGGGTTAATTTGTCCGCAAAGCTCGTTTCGACCCTCCGCAATTAACTTAAATTTATCTTGACGACAATACTTCTGGAGAGCTGCATCATCAAACACGTTCTATTATAAGCGCAGGACACGGAAAGCCTCGGGTGGTTTATTGTCAATAATATAGCTGTGCGAATCGACTTTTCCAGGCCCATCGGTAAATAAACAACATTAACGAGGCTTACGACTGCCAAGCGGACTCTTTACTCATTACATTTTGTATAATTTAAAAATATATATATTTTTAACATATTTCCATTGGGTTATACTTTTGACGTTATCAGCAATTCTCTGACGATCAATACCATCTCCATATATCCTCATGCCTTTAATTCTTCAACCTCATTCTTTATAGACAATATATTCTCATACTTCTGTTAATTAGCCTTGGCGAGATCACGTTCCCTTGGCAGACTCTTTTCCGATACGTATTGTGTTTATTTCCTTCGCGCTGTTCCATCGGCGCAACTGATTTTGGTAATTTATATATACACAGTACTTTTTTAAGGCCTTTGTGCTGTATTGAAATAACATTGTCATGGACCTAATATCCTCCCATCGCTTGTGTAACGATGCCGACACACATCCTTGCTTTACTAAGAGCCGTTATTGTGGACACGAACAGCGATTCCTAGGCCCTCCACTTCAGTCCTTCAGGTTCCAACTTTGTCTACTCTCCAACCCTCTCTTCCCCTTGTGCGTATCCCCTTTTATATCCCTCGAGCCCCCTTTCTGGAAGGTTCACTCACCCCATTTCCCTCAGCCAATCCACGTCCTCCTCTAACGGTTGTCAACCGTTCCCTCCCACTGACAGTCCACTCTCGTTTCCCGCCTTTTACGTTTGAATTTCTCTCCACCAAT